ACTCGGGGAGAAGACCGAACCAGCCTCATACCGGGCTGGACCGATCTGCTGAAAGGGGCGGAGCCCTCGGGTTCAGACACCAAGCAAGTAGGGCCTGAAACCAAGGCTGGGCAGGCCACCACGGAGCCAGAAGGCCAACCCGACCCTGGTAAGTCTCCAAGCGAGCCAGGACCTGGAGCAACAGCTGAACCGGGGGAAAGAGGTAGAGGTAACTCCACCTCGACCAGTCCTGCCTGAAGGCGTCGACCCCAATGGCCTCGCAATCAGGAAAGGGCGCCATGTATACCGGGAGACACCTCGACCACGCCGATGCGAGGAGATCCACGTCCGGAGTCCCGAACATCTGGCACAGCCAACTGGAGGAGGACAGGCCGTCGGACACCCCCCCCCAGACATGAACACGCCAGGAGAGCCAAACCCCAAGAACTCAGCAGACGAGTCACCTGAAGTGACCAGCCCCAAAGAGCCAAGGACCGCATCAAACCCCCCACGGTTCAGACAATGAACCACCGGGGAGCAGCCCGAAAGCAGCCAAAGCATCGATCTGCGAGCGACTCGAACCCTTCAGAGCGACATCCACACCACCGCGAACTCCCGGACCGTGATGTGAGCCAGAGGGAAGGACGGACCCCTCCGCCCCTAGCTGGCCTGGTGAGCACTGGTCACAAAACCCCAGCCAAGAGACGACGCGTCCATGTACACATCGAGCGAGGGCCTCGGGTAGGTGCCAAGGCACTGAATCCCGAAAAACCCGAAGAGGAAGCCGGCGACACAGCAATCGACACAAAGCCCCCGGAGGCCAAACCCAACGATTGCAAGAGAGGCAGAAGGGCCGTCCCCGAAGGAACCAGAACAGCCGACGAAGCCACACCCGACCCGGCGGGAAGACCATAGTGGCAAAGTTCAGGCTCCCGCACAAACTCTTGAGCAACCACCGTGTGGCCCGGGAACTTCTCAGAAACAGGCGAAGGCAGGACCACAGGCAAAACAGAGCCGCCTGAGGCAGAGACAAGGAAGCGGTGCGAGCGTCCCAAAGCAGACCCAGCCAAAACCGAACCCGAGAGGTAACCAGATGGAACTTCCGCCAGTTCACCAAGAAGCCAAATCCAGCGAGCTGGGAAAGAACCAAATCCCTGGCGAGCAGACACGCGGAACGGCTGGGAGCCCAAACCAGCCAGTCATCGAGGTAGACCAGAAACCGAATACCTAACAGACTCAGGTAGGCCACCACGACCCAACTAAGGCACGTAAAAACGTGAGGTGCCAGATTTAACCCGAAGGAAAGACAACGAAAGCAGTAACCTTGAAGCCTCACAACAAAACCGAGCATAGTCCCTGAACCCCCGGATGAACCGAGACGTGCCAATACGCGTCCTTGAGGTCCATGGACAGCATCCAAGCACCCGGCTCCAAGAGAAGACAGACCTGGGACAGAGTAGTCATCCTGAAGGAGGGGCAATAAACCCACGGGTTCAGACAGGACAAGTCCAGAATTAACCGGAGGTTCGCGCAGTCCCGTTTCAGGACCGGAAACAGGCAGGAAACCCACCTGAGGGACGCCGTCATTTTGACGGGAGGGAGGAGCACCGAGGGAGGAGCAGCCACCCAACGCTACCACAGGCCACACAAAACAACCCGAAAAGCCCATGAATCATGGGACCAGGTGCGAGCAAATCGGGCGAGCCAACCCCCCCCCCATCGCCCTGTCAATGGGAAGAACAACGAAAGGGCCGACGTGCCTTGCCAGCAACAGCCAGAACTGGAGGATGCACCAGCCCCGAATCTGGCACCAAAAGCCTACCCTGACGAAAAGAACCCCGAGCCTTGGCACGACCTTTCCGGGGAGGCCCCCCGCGAGCCCCCCGGAGCAACAACTCAGACATAGAGACATAGGCTGACAACTAACCGAGGCTGCCTGCAGGTACTGCACCACAGCAGATTTAGCAAACAGCAATGGACAAAAGGGCAAAGAAAAAAAAAAGGGCCAGAGCCCAAGCGGATTGTAAGGAAGAAGCCAGCACCGCCTGACGACACGCAAGGCGAGAAGCATAGAACCCTGAAACTACATCATGCAGAATGGGTGCGAAGAGCTTCAACAAAGCAGACAACGCCCCCACCACAAAGGGCAGCGCACCGGACCCGGCAGCAGCCCCAAGCGCCCCCACATTTAACTCAAGCCAATCCGAGGACAGCTCAAGGAGGGAAAAGAAAAGCAGGGCAGAAGCAAGCAGGCCACGAGTCCGCAAATCCTATGCAACCAAGGCAGCCAAAAGGGAAGGAACCTGCACGTGAAGCTGCATGACACCAACATCCCGCGGAAGGGCAGGAGTGAACAAACAAGTATTAAGATGCTCACATCGCACCCTAGGACAACCGGGAACGCCGTACAAGTCTCTCGCCACTCAAGCGGGCGGGACCAACAGAACGTGTGCCAAGCCTCCAACGAATAAAGAAGACAGTCTGCCAACCAGGGCGACTCCGGAACTTCATAACAAACCCAGTAGAACCAGAAGATCTGTACATGAAGGAACGCAGATCCATTACAAAAGCATAATCCGGGTCGCGCAGGAGGTAAGCCGCCAAGGCTTCCTGCACCTCCAAAGACAATAAGCCGGAAACCCCCGGAAAGACAGAACCGAAGAACCCGCAGGATCATGGAACCGAACTCGGGGATGGGTGGACACCAAGTCCAATTCATACGCTGAGGGAGCGAAAGAGAACCCATCTCCTTGTAACACCAAGCCCCGCTCAGAGGGTAGAAAAACCCAGGCGGGGTCCAAAGGGGCCCAAGGCCCCCAAGCCAACCCCTCCCCAACCCCGGGAACCTCACCCTGAAGACCTAGGGCCGAGCCATCCTTCTGACCCCCACCTCTAAAGAAAAGGCGGGAACAGCCAAAAAAGCAGGAACGAAGGGGGGTCCACTGGCCAGGCCCAGAAGCTCTGGCAGAAGGACCAGGCTCGAATGCCTCTTCCTCAGCCCCAGAAGAGGACACCCCGAGACCGCCCGAGTCTCCAAACCAACTAAACCCTGCTCGGACTCGGAAACCCTCAGACGTTTTGGAGCTGGAAGAAAGGGTGGGTGGGTGGGGTTGGGGGGGGGAGAGAACCGAATGAACGACAGAAGGGTAAGGACTAGGAGGGGCGGATGGAACCAGAGCGGAAGCAACTCCCACCCCCCAAGTCCGGGTCCCTATAACTAAAACGGGGTAGTCTCGGGGAATCCGGGGCAGCCACCAACCTAAATCTAGCATGCAACGCCTCAGGTGCCCGCACCTGCGTATCAGGCCCAGTAGGCTGGGTGAACTGGAGTACGTACAGACAACACACGTCGCACGACTCCGGGTCAAAACAATCACCGACCCAACAGGCAGCATGGCGGAGGCAAAACTAATGAGTGTCCCCAAGAGACAAGGGGGGACAGAGCAACCTTCAAACTCGCAAGAAGCGAGGGAGGACTCAGGGGTCACATCCATCGGACCATGTAGCCCCCATGGGGTTTCCCAGGGGCTATCCTCCCAATCTACCAACAAAACTTCTATAGCTGAACCCCTGGGACGTGTACTCTCACAGGGGCCAAGGCGGAGTTGACCACCAAAACAAGGTACTGTAGATGGATACAATAACCCCAAGAACAGTGAAGGAGACAAGGGCAGACCCCCCTCCAGGCGGAAAACAAAAATCCCGCAAGAGGACAACATACCTAGGCGGAACAGAGCTGGCCGCTGTTATTGGTGAAAACTAGGTGTGCAGTACACTGTGCCCCTGCCAGTGACGAAAACTACCCCCTATCCAGAAACAAACAAGGGCAAGAACAAACCACAGATGATCCCAAGGGTGGCGAAATACCGAGCAGTAAATAGCACAGCGGAGGTAGATCCCGAGGTGACTCGAGGAAGGTGGCCCCAAGGCTAGTACTTACAGGGCATCTAGGGAAGGAAACCCTAGGTGCATGCAGCCCAAGTACTGTAGAGTATCACTCCTGGCCCACGCACCACCGAAAGGGACAGCTCACACCACAAGGCACAGAACTGTAACAAATCACTGGAGCCAGAGGCACGACCTCACCAGACTCCCATCAGCCAAAAACTGTAGGGTGGGTCGCCAGCGGTTAGGTCTGGAGCTGCCCCTTCCCCCTCCCGGGGAGGGGGGGGGGGGGGCGCAGACAGCGGCGTGGCAACGTGACAACGTCATGCTCGTTTGCTAGTTTTCGTTTGGGGAGTTCTGTCCACTTGTTCGGTCTTCGGCCGCAATAGTTTTACCAGAATAGGGGTTGTTCTGGGGGTGCCTACCTTTCTGGGTGCCTATCCCAGTCGATGCCAGACATAGACTGCTCCCAATAATAAAGGGGGGTTTCTATAGGCCATTGCTCCTTGTGCCTCTCTAGAGGGGGCCAGGTTCTGGCTCATGGTCCCCGGTAGGCAAGAACTCTATGCATTGACCGATGCCAGAAAATTATACATATCCATTCAGCCTGGATAGCTCCGGGGAGCCGACGGGGCTCCCTCCAGAAAAGATCTGTAATTCCTGCATGGTTCACCTGCTATGGATATAAATATCCTTAATTAAGGCTGAAACTTTGAACTTAACCCCATATGTAATGTTTTATTTAAAATCCAATGAACTCAAAAGTCAAAAGAAAGACAGACACATTACTGTACAAATACTTACAAACTGCAGTTATTGTACGAAGAAAAGCTAAATGTACACTGAAATTATTTACAGATAATTTACTTTAAATTCACCTTAGATAACAAAAGCATACCCAGGAAAAGTGTCAAGAGCTAAGTCGCTATCAAGCACATGTAAATAAAAATATAATGGACAATTTGTAGATACTAATTAATTTTATTCAAGCATGTTTATCAATAAAATGTGACACACACCTAGAATGCCTGCATTGCAACAAGTGATCCTTAGTTCTATATCCACAAATATGTTCCACCTAAACTATTGAAGAAATATAATTTAAATTTGTTACTATACAATAATCATTGCAATACCTGGCCTTCCAAGCTATCTGGTTGATAGCCTCCACAGTTTCAACATTTTCTTTATAGAGTACAAATGTTGTGTATAGTTGATCTTTTGGCCATCCTGTCTTGTCCCTCCGCACACTACCAGCTGGAATAAACACCATAATTATTTTATCTTAATACTTAACCTTGAGGCTCATATTACTTTTAAATAATCTATAAGACTACATGTATGTACTTTCCTCAAATGTTGAAATGCATAGCAAGTTTCTTTTAAACACCTATAGATGAACAGTACATCCTCTTTTATTACAATGTTAATTTCACCTAGTTCTTTACTGCCTTATATTTTAAATTCTTTTCCTAATGTTCTATTACCAATAATATACCACACCACTTCAGTAAAATTTATAATGGCCCTATTTCCATAAGATTTTGTAAGATGTTGTCCCAGATTCTTTTCACCTGAACATACAAGAGTGTTTTTTCATTCACAACCTCCATACTTTGCACCATAATCTTAAACATTTGCAATACTTGCTCCTTGAGCACAACAAATTATAATGCTACTAAAATTTATTGTTCCTAATCCGTATCTTGTGGCACAAAATTTGCATGACACTGCAACTTCAAGAACAACAGTGAGGTGAAATGATTCCATGCTTGTTAACACCCATTAAATCTATCACCTTGATATTAATCTCTTGCTACATTATTTTCTAAAATCTGCTTTGAGAACCACCTCCGACAAAGCAACAAACATTAAAATTTCAGGTGAAACAACGTAGATAATAACAATAGACAAATGCCAGGAAGTAGCCCTGAGCAGTAGAGACAAACCAGGCAATTATCAAGACTGACAATTTCATGTTGAACCTGCACATAGTGGAGCCAGATGTACGTGATAATACGTTTGACCTGATCGTCACAAAAAAGAAGGAACTAATAAGAAACATCACAATCTTAAAACAAAAAAATTCTGACCACAATTCCATTAAGGTAAAAACAAATTAGGGAAACGTGTCCAAAATATGTGGATATTGTCATTTCTTGTCTCCTGGGCTACTGCAATAACAGTCATTTGTCAATTTTCCTTATTATACTAACAATTTACATATTACATCATACATCTATATCGGTGTAATGGAGTTAACCAAGAAATGAAAATTTTTGTATTGGTTAGTAATCGCTTAAAAAGCCATTAAAATTATCATATACTAGAGGCCATTAGTTACTGTCAAATCACTATTTGGTTTTCCCATCAGTACAGTATTAGAATCCTTGCTTGGAAGACATTCCCAGACAGAAGTGCAACAAAGAAGTTGGTTGAAAGACACTTCATTTGAGTTGTGCTTGAAACAGGATTATGTGCAAAAGGTGTACACATTATATATAGTATACTCAAATGCAGCTTGTTATGTGGATAAATTATTCAACACACACACCATTGAGTAAATATATGAAAAATGAAAATAAAAACATCAAGATGAATATAGGACGAGCTAGAATATAGGAGCCAAGATGAATGTATATATTTGCCTTTCTCACATGTAGTGTCAAACAAAATGATGATCTCCCACCATCCATCTTCTTCCCACAGCTCATAAAACAAGAAGAGATGTAGGTGTAATTATTACCCAAGTGTAGTTACAGGATGAGAGCTACGCTCGTGGTGTCCCGACTTCCCAGTATTCTTTGTCACATAACGCTTTGAAACTACTGACCGTTTTGGTGTCCACCACCACCTTTCTTAGCTTGTTCAGTCTACCACTGCCATGTGAGTGTGCGTGTGTGTGTATACTTGCCAAGTTGTACTCACCTAATTGTGCTTGCGAGGGTTGAGCTCTGGCTCGTTGGTCCCGCCTCTCAACTGTCAATCAACTGATATACAGATTCCTGAGCATACTGGGCTCTTATCATATCTACATTTAAAACTGTGTATGGAGTCAACCTCCACCACATCACTGCCTAATGTATTACATCTGTTAACTACTCTGACACTGAAAAAGTTTTTTCTAACATCCCTATGGCTCATTTGGGTACTCAGTTTCCATCTGTGTCCCCTTGTTAAACAGTTTATCTTTATCTACACTGTCAATTCCTCTTGATAATTTTGTAGGTAGTGATCATGTTTCCCCCTTACTCTTCTGTCTTCCAGTGTCGTGAGGAGCATTTCACGCAGCCTTTTCTTGTAACTCATGCCTCTTAGTTCTGGGACTAGCCAAGCGGCATATTCCTGAACTTTTTCAAGTTTCACCTTGTATATGACAAGGTATGGGCTCCATGCTGGGGCCGCATACTCCAGGATACTCCTAACATATGTAGTATACAAGGTTCTGAATGATTCCTTACACAGGTTCCTGAAGGTAGTTCTGATGTTAGCCAGCCTCGCATACGCCACAGACGTTATTCTTTTGATGTGGGCTTCAAGAGACAGGTTTGGTGTGTTATCAACTCCTAGATCTTTCTCCATTCGTTTCATGAAGGACTTCATCTCCCATTCTGTATCCTGTGTCTGACCTGTTTCCACTGCCTAGTTTCATTACCTTACATTTACTCAGGTTGAACTTTAGCAGCCATATGTTGGACCATTCATTCATTATGTCTAGGTCATCTTGTAGCCTCATACTACTTTATCTTCCTCCGTCATAATCATCCTCATAATTTTTGCATCATACCTTGACTGTCCAATATTTTCACTATTACACTTGTTAATGACACAGGTCTATAATTGAGGGGTTTTCCCTGCTGCCACTTTTGTAGATTTGTTCTTACTTAGCTCCTTTAGCATATTTTCCACTTCATCTCTAGACACCTCTATACGAGCTATGTTCTCTGGAATTCTTATTGTGTCTGGTTCTCTGAAGATTTCATTTTGTACAAACACACTTTGGAACTCTTCATTTAATGTTTCACACATCTCCTTTCCATTTTTGCGTATCTGTCCCCCATTTTCAACGTCTGAATATTATCCTTTACCTGCAGCTTACTTTTAATGAATTCATAGAAAAGGCCTGGATCTGATTTACATTTGTCTGTTATACTGTTCTCAAAGTTCCTCTCTGCCTCTCTCCTTACTGACATGTAGTTGTTTCTTGCATCTTTGTATCACTGGTATGTTTGGGGGTTTGGCCTCTTTCTATAATGATTCCATGCTTGTGTCTTTTGATCTCTGGCCCTCTTGCAATTTCTGTTGAACCAACCCTGTTTCCTAGGTCTGCATGTCTGTTTGTGAGCCTTCATCATATATTGTGCAAAATTTGGCATACATCTCATTTACTTCCTTGCTTAGCAACAATTCTGTCCAATTATACCCAAGAAAAAAAAATCTAAATTCCCCATAACGTTCGAGTTTAACAGCTGTTTCACTGTCCCTATTCTCTACCAGATTATATCGCATAGCGTATTTAATGTCCAAGAGGACATGATCACTCTTTCCCAAGGGTGGAAGGTACTGGATGTCAAATACCTCCTCCTCTTTCCTGGTGAATACTAGATCCAATACTGATGGAACATCCCCTTTCCTCATTCTTGTGACCTGCTTGACGTGTTGATACATGAATGTCTCCAAGATGAGGTTTACAAATCTGCCTGTCCAAATGTCCTCTGTTCTTGCCTCGCAGGCCTCCCAGTCTATTGCCTTAAAGTTAAAGTCCCCCAGTAGCAACAATCGGGATTTATCTTTGTCAGCTCTTATGATAATCTCTCTCATGACCATTATGAGACCCTCTCCTTTGTCATCCAGTTCTTCCTTTGTCCATGTGTTGCTTGCTGGTGGGCTGTAGGCATTTAAAATTATCAGCTTATCTTGATTCCAGAGCTGCAATGCCATTATGTCAATATCTCGAGGGGTTTCAAACATTAATTCTCTTACCTTCAGGTGTTCATTCACCAGCACTCCTTCCCCCCTTCTTAGTTTTCCTGTCACGTCTCCAAACTGAGTAGCCCCTTGGGAACGCGACCTCATTTAAAATATTTTCTTCAAGTTTAGTCCCTGTTAATGCGACAATATCTGGGACTTTGAGCTTGATTATATCTTTCAATATTTTTGATCTCACTTCATCTATATTGGTATATACTATTTTCAGGAATGTGTTCCCCTTCCCTTTGTTCTTTACACACCCCCTTCCTCTAATGATTTTGTTGCTTTGTCTTTATGTACCATTTCACAAGCTTTCCAGTCCCTGACACTTTGTAGAAAAAAGAATTTCTCTCTTCTTCATTTCTATCCCCATTTAGACGTTTTGCTTCAGTGAGGTTCATTTTCAGCTTTTCTCTGTCCTCTTTTGAGAAGTCTTGTCTTATTGACCAAAGTTTGCCATCCTCATCACATTGCAGTTTTCTGGTATTCCGAAACACTTCTGTCATATATTTCACTCCATTAAACATCACCCTTAAGGGGCAGTTCTTCTCATATCTTTCTCATATTCTCGTCTTTCTCATATTTTCCTATCCTCCTAAAATCACTGACATGCTCCTTTGAATTTAGGCCTTCTCCTATTCCTACTATTTTTTCTATAATTTTCATCTCTTCTGCTGCTCGGTCCACCCTAACTGGAATTTCCTTCTCTACACATCCAAAACCTATTTTAGACTTACTTCTATCTACAGTGTTTTGTACCAGTTTACTGTTGGTTACCAGTTATTTCCTAATTGCTTGCCTAAGATCCGCTTCTTGTTTGTCATTTCTGGTTTTGACTTCCAAACACACTTCCTTGATTGTCTCTCTCTCTTTTACAACTTGGGCGTATGTCTCTTTTATTTCTTCTTTATACTTTTCTAGTTCTTTATTAACTTTCTTTATTATTCTATGTGAGTTGTCAATGAAGTTTCCAGTTGGAGATCCTTGCCTAACTCTATGTTAGCCCTCAGGCTCCCTTGGAGTTGTTCACCATATGAGTATTTTCTTGTTTATTACTTCAAAGTCACCACACTTCACTTTCCACACCTCATTTTCTTTCACTAATGCTTTGATTTGCTCCGCCTGATTTGTTACCATGTCCGTTAATGCAGTAATAATCTTACCTTGCTGAAGAATACTCCCTTTCAGAGTGCAAAGCTCACTCCTAAAGAGCTCAATTGTCCTCTTCTAGTTTAAGCACTTTTTCTTCATACTTTTTTTTGCATATCCTCAATTATCTCAAGCCT